ACAATGATATCGCAGAATTATCACATATGTGTTGCTATGCGGCCACTGGCCCTTCCAGGCCGAAGACGCGAAGCAGCTCATGAAAGAGACGATGGAAGCCAGGGTCGAGTTCCACACCAAGTACTGGAGGAACGTGTCAGAGGAAGGTCTGTTCCCCTCCTCCACTTCCACTTTGCTCTACGGCTGACGCAAGCACAGCGAAAAACTTTATCAGACGCCTGCTAGCCCTCGACCCCGCAGAGCGGCCCACCGCAGAGGCGGCGCTCGCCGACCCCGTCAGTCTCCTCCCTCCTCTCATCATGTGGTGACCGCTTACTGACGCTGATGCAGTGGCTGACGACGCACGAGCCGACGACGGAGTACGATGTCGGGCTGCGCGACAACTTTGACGCCAAGGCGCGCTGGAGAACGGCGATCGCGGCCGTGCGCGCGCTGGGGCGGCTCAACCACGGACTCAGCTACGACTGCCGCAAGGAGCAGGCGAACGTCGAACTCTACGCGAACCCGAACCTGAACGACGACGACTCGTCGGTCGGCGGGTACGACCCGCGCGCCAGCCTCACGGACATCCCTCAGACCGCCAAGCTGAGCCGTAATCAGCACCCGCGCTATGACTTCGAGCAGCCGCACACGCAGCGCCAGTCCACCAGAGATGAGGACGACAAGTGGGATGAGCATGAGCATGCATACAAACCTGCGTCTGCAGGTTTGAGCACACCGCTAGAAGAGAATGTGCATGTGCAGGTTACACCGCCGCCGGCACCGGAGGAGGCGCAGGGAGAGCGAGAGGCGGAAGAGCCCGAGTCGGTACTGGCTTCCACGGAGGAGGAGGTGGAGCTCTGATCCTTGGCTCGTTTGACCTGTCGGATCCGACGCGGGCGGGCGGTCACGGCGAGGAGTGGTGGGACATGTTGCGGAAGTTGCATCTCAAGCAACCGCTTCCCTGCTCCATTCTCGACCTGAATATAACCAACCCTCTTCCTCCATTCCTTCCCTCGCCGAATTTATCAAGATTTTTTCCCACTCTCTTTTTAAAAAAAAATCTTGTTTGATTTATGGTCTGACTACGGGAGACTAGAATTTATCCATGCACGGTAAATTGAACCTAAATCCGAACACCTGCGTTCCTTCGCAGACCACTTTCAGTCTAACTATTTCCGTTTCCTGTATTGTACGTATAAGTACCTTCAATGCCTCCACATTCGGTTTTGCAAGTACGAACAAGGTTGAGAAACTTGGGCGCCGCAGGCGGATGTGGGGAGTCGAACCCCTCAACTGCTTGCAACATCTTCACTAGTGATCCATCATCCAAGATTCCAAGGCAGTGGTGCCCCGTGCACCACGTCCGCTTATCACCCTCCCTTCCCAACCTGAATATACCCACGCCTCGTCCTTCCATTCGTTCGTCCTTAACCGAATTTATTTCATGCACTTGAGATTGAATCCAAATTTGAACACCCTGTGCAAATCCACCAATGCAGCTCGAACCACGTCTGCTTCCCTCCTCTCCGAATATATCACAAGCCTCATTCAAGAGAGAGAATACAAAAAGGAAGATCAACAAAGTTAAAGCGGACGTGGGGAGTCGAACCTGCAGATTCAGAGAACCGTCGAATGAAATGCAGTGGTGCACCGTGCACTACATCCGCTTCCTCCCTCTGTTCTACGCTTGGATATACCCCGCACTTGCGGAGACAACAATCTCTCTATTATGCAAGGATTCTATTTTATTATTGCGAAGACGCCAGTGGCGAAGATGGGGAAGGGCGTGGGATATTCGCGACAATGCACGCGAATTTATGGTAGAATGACAATAGCGGCGAATACGCCTCGTATGTACGCAAAAAGGGAAGAGGACACGGAGACGGCTCGGTTCCGCGGAGGTGCGCTCCTTCGAGGCGTTCCAGGTAGAGCCTGGGGCGTGTAATGGGATTGAGTTGGATGGAGGGCGGGCTGGGTGAGAAGATCAATCTGGAATCGAGATTGAGATTGGATCGACGGAGGTGGCGCGCACGCGCGCGTGTTGGGTGGAGTGGTGACTCAGCGAGAGAATGGATGGATGACTGAGAGAGTGTAGCGGTGGCGGGGCGATCAGGGCGTGGGATCCACCCCCAGTCGACTTCGAATGAATATTAATGCGGCGAAGTGTATTGGCCATGTGACGGATACGGAGAGAGGGCGAGAGCGAGATATTGGGGGGGAGACAGCCTGAGGCATCGCATTGCGGCGGGCCCAGACCCCGGGGTGGCGGTGTGGGCATGAATAAGTGGGCCTGGCGCCTGCCTGCCCAACTCAGGGGAATGTCCGATCCCATATCCAGAGGAATGCAGATGGAAGCAGATTAAAGACAACGATGATGAAGGAAAAGACTGGAGTGGAGAGCGATCGGGCACAGACGCCGACGTCAGTGCAGACAGACATAGTCATGACAGCGCTAAAATGCGGGCCCGGCGTCGACCACGAGCGACTACTGCAACGGTTTGCATTCGAGGCCAAGAAAATATTACCGTAATGACACGCGCGGACGCTGCGATCTGTGGACAACGGCATGCAGATCGCCGCCGGCGACCTAGGGCGTCGCCGGGGCTCTCCCGCGAACGGATGGTGCGATTCGGGCACAAACAGTTTTAAGTTCGCGAAGGCACAGACGCTCGCTTGTACTCGCCTCTCGCCTCGACAGGGAGTCGATTACGCAGTGGCCGCCGCAGGCAGACCGCAGAGGACGTCGTCCGCTAGGTTGAAAGAGCAAAGAACAAGGAAAGAGAAAGGTAAGAGAAAGAGACAGAGCGATCAAAACCAAGATCAAACGGAGCGATGACGTCACGGTAATGATCTTGATTTCAACCAAGTTGAACCAACATCCAAAACACCGCAAGTCAGGCAACCACCATAGGTTGACATTACTAGTAGACCACTTAATAAATCTAGGTACGGTCCCATTCGTATCGGTCTGGCAACTGGTCGCAGGCCTTATAGTTGGCCCGCGTGGAATGCAACTTCCAGGCCGGAAATGCTGGGTAGGGGAGGTCGGTGAAAGTCGGCTGGGCAGGCAGGACCACAGCATGTCGAAATAGGATGGCGCACTAGATCGGAATTGATCGGAACTCAAGCTTGAGATCGACAACGTCATACAGTGTCAGAAATGCTGGAATACAGTGATACAACAAGACTCCACTAAATCACCGCGGGACTCGAACCCCACCAAATGCTTGGAACTCAATTACTCTTTCAATTCAGTGCCCCCAATTCCCCAGCCCAAAGTTTATTCGCGACTCTTCCTAGAAATAAAAAGAATCGGTGTGAATGACGCCATGCGAACACGGGGAATCGAACCTCTCCAACTGCTTGGAACTCCATTACCTCTTCCATTAAATGCAGCCGTGCATCATCCACCACTTCCACTTTCTCTCCATTCCCACTGCCAATCTCTCGGTACAAAATATTATTTTTTGGAATGGAAGAAAAAATCAACTGCCAAGGGCCATGCGGACGCGGGGAGTCGAACCCCATTCGACTGCGTAATCTAGGTTCTTCCCCCGTAAATTAGTGCAGCGGTGTACCCTAAACCACATCCGATTCCTCTCTCTATGCCTCACACCTAATTTATTCGAGTGTTTGGATCATTGTACAATAAAAACACCGCTACGCAGCCGTTACAGGCGGACACGGGGAGTTGAACCCCATCAACTGCGTAGAACTCGCTCGGAATCCTAATTGATTGCAGCGGTGCGCCGTGCACCACATCCGCTTGCTCTTTCCCTTCCACCCTCGGACATATGCACCTACAGTCGCGCGGGTCATAATGCATAAGGTTCGTTCCCTGCCAGAATTTCCCAAATTCAATGCATTACGAGGATTATACATTATGACCATCATTTTACAGTGGGCAGGAGGCATTCGGGGGATTCAAAATCCAATGCATTATGGGATTTTTTGGCAGGTATGCGTTATGAGCTTATGCATTATGACCCGCGCGACTGTATTCCTTTGGTTGCATTTCGGACTCAGTAAAAAAGGACAGTGAACAACGACCTGGCTATACGGACGCGGGGAGTCGAACCCCATCAACTGCATGCACTCGAGTCGCCCGCTCGCTCTTCATTGGTTGCAGCGGTACGTCGTGAACCACGTCCGCTTCCACTCTCCATCCCCACCCTCAATCTCCCAGCACAAGATATTATTTTTTGGAATGGAAGAAAAAAAATCAACTGCGAAGGGCCATGCGGAGGTGGGCCGTCGAACCCTTCCAACTGCGTGGCACTCGTCTCACCTCGATCCTCTGACATTCGATCAGCGACACTTTTTTATTATTATTTCTACCTCCAACACATTTCTAGGTGGAAGAAAAACAAAACTATGTTTAGGTCTGTCTAAGGAGGCTATGTAAAATTCGAGTCCATTTAACCTCTCTGGACGATCCGACATGGCGCGGCGCAAGAGGACATGCACGACCGCATCCGCGAGCGTGACGGTCCACCAGCCCGGACTCGTAGAGGCAGATGCTGGAGATAATGCCGAGGAGGACTTCACGCCCGGTGGTGGGTGCACATAACCCTCTGCATAGTCTCTTCATGTACTTATCAGTATCAATTTTTTTTGGACTTATAAACGTGTCGGAAAGTTTTGACCGAGCAATAAAAGTGTCACTGACCGTATGTCAATGAAAGTGTCGCTGATCTGATGTCCGTCAACGTAAGTGTCGGAACCGATTTTTGACCAAAGAAAGTGTCGCGAAAAGTGTGTTTGAGCGACACTTACATTGATCCCTTCAAACCTGGTGAAAGTATGGCAAACATGAATTTTGACAACAAAAGTGTCGCAAAAACCAAAAAAAGTGTTGGTTTATTTAAAGTGCACTTGGACCCTCATACTTTCACACCAAATCACCGCGGGGCGTCTGATTCGAACCCCACCAACTGTTTGAAACTCAATTACCCCATGCCTCTCAGCTTCACATTATTCACGATCCCATTCAGAAAAAAATCTCTGGGAACTGGCCATGCGGACGCGGGGAATCGAACCCCGTCCAACTGCTTCAACTTAATTCGGCAAATGTATACTTTACAGTGGTGCACCATGCACCACGTCCGCTTACCACCTCCATTCCTCTCCCATCTAACTGAGATAATTGTATTGGATCTGAGAACGAAAAAAGAGGGGAACCAAAGGCCAAGACGGACGTGGGGCTGTCGAACCCCGTCTGACTGCTTCCAACATGAAATTTAGGGTGGTGGTGCGCCGTGCACCACGTCCGCTTAACACCTCCCTCCCTGCACCTTATTCATTCGGCTGTCTGCGTTGCATTACGAACGGGAAAAAAATTGACCAGAAGGCCTACCAGGCGGGCGCGGGGAGTCGAACCCCATCAACTGCTTTCATCCTTCCTTTCACCACAGTTAAGGCAGTGGTGCACCGTGCACTACGTCCGCTTATCACCTCCACTCTCAACCTGAATATAACTAATCCTTTTCCTCCCTTCCTTCCCTCGCCGAATTTATCCGTGCATGTGAATTGAATTTCGCACTCCTCCGTCCCCTCGCGGAAATCATTCACTCCACCTACTTCCGTTTCCTGTGTTGGATGTATACCTTCAATACACCATATCCTCCGGGTTTTGAGTGCAAAAAAGGCTGAGAATTGATGGCAGGCGGACGCGGGGAGTCGAACCCCGTCAACTGCTTGTTGACTTTATACCACCAATCGATCATGCCTAGGCAGTGGTGCGCCGTGCACCACGTCTATTCCTACTTCCATTCCTTTCTAACTGAGATGATTTAGGCTGTGAGTCAAAAAATGGGGGGCTGGATGGAGGAAGGCGGACGCGGGGAGTCGAACTCCATTCACTGCTTGCATCTCATTGTGCGCCGAACGAGTACAGAAGGCAGTGGTGCGCCGTGCACCACGTCTGCTTCTCCCCTCCATTCCAGTCCTCAGCTCGTCTGGGACTTGTGGTATTTATTGTAGAATAAAAGACTAGATGAGGGCTTTAATAGGCGGACGCGGGGAGTCGAACCCCGTTCAACTGCATGGACTTAAAGCCGAAGAGCCAAATTAAATGCAGTGGTGCGCCGTGCACCACGTCCGCTCTCTTCCTTTATTCTACTGTTAAAAATCCGCTGGGTTTTAATTTCATTTCTGATGAAAAAAAGTGAGGAAAATCAGTGGAAGGCGGACGCGGGGAGTTGAACCCCTCAACTGCTTGCAATCCTTCGACACTCTCTCAATTAATGCAGTGGTACGCCGTGCACCACGTCCTCTTACTACCCGCCTCCCACTTCCTCCTAACTGAGATGGTTTTATTTGAACTGTGAAAGAAAAAAAGAGGTATAACGTTGGGCGAGGCGGATGCGGGGAGTCGAACCCCTCAACTGCTTGCAATCCTTCGACAATATCTCAATTACATGCAGTGGTGCGCCGTGCACTACATCCACTTCCTCCCTCTGTTCTATACCTTTATACCTCGTATAATTTTATTTGAGCTGCAGCCTGAGACCGAAAAAAAGAGCCAGGAAAATTAGGCAGGCAGACGCAGGGAGTCGAACCCCGTCAACTGCTTGTTAACTTCATACCACCAATCAATCATGTAATGTAAAGACAGTGGTGCGCCGTGCACTACGTCCGCTTTCTACCTCCTTTCCTCCTCCCTCCAATTCAGATAATTTATTTGCACTGTGAACGAAAAAAAGAAGAGTAGCAGTGGGTAAGGCGGAGGCGGGGAGTCGAACCCCATTCACTGCTTGCTTCATATCGAGGATTTATAGAGTGCAGTGGTGCGCCGTGCACTACGTCCGCTTCCTACCTCCATTCTATCTCTTGCCAACTCATATAATTTTGTTTCCAGCTTGAGAGAAAAAGCTGAGGGGAGGGGATATAAAATGGACGACCAACAAAGTCAAAGCGGACGCGGGGAGGCGAACCACTCAACTGCTTGCAATCCGTCGACAATGTCTTAATTAAATGCAGTGGTGCGCCGTGCACTACGTCCGATTACCACCTCCCTTCCTCTCTCTGACTGAGATAATTTTTTTCAGACTGTGAGCAAAAAAGCAGATAGATCATAGAAAAGACTAGACAGACGCGGGGAGTCAAACCCCATTCACTGCTTGCATTCGTGCGTTGAAAGGTTATAGAATGCAGTGGTGCCGCCGTGCACCGTGTACTACGTCCGCTTTCTACCTCCCTTCAATCCACGTCCAACTCGGACGTTATTCTGACTCTGAACAAGAAAAAAGATGGAGGGAATCTGGCTAGGCGGACGTGGGGAATCGAACCCCTCAACTGCTTACATGTGGAGGTCCTAAACACCTATAGAGTGCAGCGGTGCGCCGTGCACTACGTCCGCTTCCAACCTCCATTCTAGCCCTCAATATACCCAGCTCTCTTTCCCCGCTCTCCATCCCTCACTCGAATTTATTCCATGCACTAAAATTTGAATTTCACACTTTTCTGTCCTCTCGCGGACATCACTCAATCCACCTACTTCCGTTTCCTGTGTTGCGTGTATACCTTTAATACACCATATCCTCCGGGTTTTGAGTACAAAAAAGGCTGAGAATCGACGGCAGGCGGACGTGGGGAGTCGAACCCCTCAACTGCTTTCAATCCTTCGACACTCTCTCAATTAATGCAGTGGTGCGCCGTGCACCACGTCCGCTTACTATCTGCCTCTCACTTCCTCCTAACTGAGATGATTTTATTTGTACTGTGAAAGAAAAAAAGAGATATAACGGTGGGCGAGGCGGACGTGAGGAGTCGAACCCCTCAACTGCTTGCAATCCTTCAATACTCTCTCAATTAATGCAGTGGTGCGCCTGCACTACGTCCGCTTCATCCCATGTTCTACGCTTGCATATATTGAGCGAGCAGTAGCAATTTTTGCAGACGACGGCGAGTCCACTCAACTGGGTGCGATGATGATGAATGTAGCATGTATGTAAGGAAAGTATGTAGAACTCGATGTCTCGGCTCCGCCGGGCTTCCTCTGCCGAGAACGTTCCTGGTGGAACCTCGGCGTACGTGCGTGTACTGACATGCATCGAATGAATTGAGGAGTGAATGAGATTGGATCGACGGCGCCCGCATAAATAAAATGAATAAGTGAGGATGCGTAAGGGAGGGGGGGGAGGGCGATTGGGGCGTGGGATTCACCCGAGTCGACTTCGCCGAATGAATGGATGGATGTGCCTATGTAAGGGACAGAGAGAGGGCACGGGATGTTGGGGCGTGAGGGGGGGAGATAGGCTGAGGCATCGTATTGCGGCGGCCCAGAGCGTGGCGGTGAAGTCTGGGCATGAATAAGCGGGCCTGGCGCTGTCGACGTCAGGTTGCGTTGACTCAAGGGGACGTCCCGTCTTATACCCAGAGGAATGCAGATTCAATGAAGGCGATGATGATGATGAAAGAAGACTGGAGTGGAAGGCGATCGGGCACGGAGACATGACAGCGCTGAAATGCGTCGATCTGAGCAACGGTTTGCATTCCGAATGCCGGCCAAGAAAATATTGCAGTAATGACGCGCGCGGACGCAGCGATCTGCGGGCAACGGCATGCAGATCGCCGCTGGCGACCTAGGGCGTCGCCGGGGCTCTCCCGCGAGACGGTGCGATTCCGTTTCGGGCACAAAGAGTTTTAAGCTCGCGAAGGCACAGAAGCTCGCTCGTACTCGCCTCGACAGAAAATTAATTACGCGATGGCCGCCGCAGGGCGCAGGCAGACTACAGAGGACGTCGTCCGCCAGTTGGAAAGAGGATTAAAGAGCAAAGAAAGAGACAGTTGAGAGAAAGAGACAGCTCGAGTGAAGATCAGATTCATTGAACGCAGTGATGATCGATGACGTCACGGTAATGATCTTGACTTCAACCAGCACCCAAAGCACCGCAAGTCAAGCAACCACCATACTATCGATCGCCCACCTCTGCAAAAATATTTTGATGGCGCTCCCGGCCTGCCTGCCTCTTGCCAGATACGCTTCGGGTTTGGGATATAGGATCCTCCAAGTGGTTACTTGCTTGCTGAGAGGTGGTATAAGGCTCCGAGCAGAATCGAGCTCGCAATGAAGTTGCCGAGCCATGCGATCAAAACCACCTACATATGCAAAAAAAGTTTTGATTGGGGGCTCGCTCAGTCTAGGTCATTTTTTTCCTAATCTTTCTGGGTCATATTCTCAGGAAGCAGATCTATCTCCCCGTATTTTTCGAAGTGAATTGGAGCAAAATTGACTTGGGAAAATAATTTAACTTTCTTTTGCAGTTGTGGGCTGTTTTGCAGATGTAGGCTATTGATAGTAGGTTGACATTAGACTTCTGTAAGTATAAATCTAGGTACGGTTCCATTTGTATCGGTCGGGCACTTGGTCGCAGTATGATTGGACCGCGTGGAATTCAACTTCCAGGCCGGAAATGCTGGGAAGGGGAGGTCAATGAAAGTCGGTTGGGTAGGCAATGTCGAAATAAGATTGCGCCCTGGATCGGCACTGATAGGAGTTCGGGCTCGAGATCGCTCCAGTGAACAATGTCATACAGTGTCAGAAATGCGGGAATGCAGCGATACAACAAGATTTCGCTCTTCCAGACTATTCCACCATTTTTTCGACAACATCTAGGACTTGGCCAAGCCAGATGTGTTCAATCGTTGATCGACCCGCGGTAGAATCGTCTTGTCAGCATTCCTCAAGTGGGTAAACGTGTGGTAGATTCTCGTGCAAATCGCGTTGAATCTCTACGCGAATTACTGGGTTAGCGCCGAAGGTTATCAACCACTAGGGATGCAGCAGCCATAGTTCTAATTCATGATTCTCAATTTGCCTTCGGGGACGTGCTTTGGAACCTCGTCAATATGTTTTATATTTGTCTCATACACCGTGCTAGGCTCACGAGAAGAGTCGGAGCCTAATCAACGTGTTGTGATCATCACCCCGCAGAGAAACTCGCCTAGCGAGCGAACACGAGCTGGCGCAGCCGCAGAACATTCCAGCCTATTCCAGCTGCCACGCGACGGAGTCGTCCATCATTGATCGGAGGAACGTGGAATTACAGGGCGGTTCTGTTCTATTACACAGGACGAGACTCTGTGGCGCACCTTGTATTCGGCGACGGGGATGAGCTTGGGAGGGGCGTTAAGCAATTATTGTGTATTGTGGCGCTGGTGTGCAATTCAGGCCTGGGATCCTTCGCGTAAAATTGAGTTACTGTGGGCAGAGGTGCAAAGGGAGCTAAAGGAGATGTGAACATGCCAATGGCCGCACGCACGTAGGATGATTCCAAACGGAAGGATTGAGGCAAGAATAAAATTCTGCCTAGAAGAAAGTGGCAACACAGTTTATTCGGCGCATAATAGACTCGGGATCGGAGGGAAGACTCACGGGAACCTGGAACGCCGACGCCCCAAATCCAAATCGAAGAGGAGCGGTGAAATGCCTCTTGCAAGTACCGAGCAACCTATAAAACTCAACAGAGCAGCAAGAATATATCCCGCAGGGTAGGAAGATATTTCCCTCCACCGCAGAGAAAGCCATGGACTCAGCGCCGTAGAAAGGAAGCCATTTAGTTGGACGACATCACGAATTCGAAGTCGATACAAAGCGCCACGTCGATACACCTGCATGCCGTTATCCAAAGAACGCGAAGGAGGGAGGCTAATACTTAAATCTAAATCTCGTTATACTTTCCCCGGCCTGAAGACGAGTCGTGGACTGTGTAGAGGAGGGGAATGCCCGAGGGTAAGGTGGCTGAGACAGAGTTAAGCGTTGAGGGGCCGAGATGCCCTGCCGTGCCTTTGTGGGGGGGATGCCTGAAGCAAAAGTGAACGGAGGCGTAGATTCAGGTACTGGGGTCTTCAGGTACGAGCTGTCGACGTCGAATCCCAGTAGCGTCCGCCACGCGGCGCCAGTGACCAGGTCCACTCCTGATTCGCTGTACGATAGCCTCGAGTGGCATGGCCGTCGTCGACGAGCTCGCGTCGTGGATTTGAGGTATATGTGACATTGAATGCAGGGGTAGATACTCGGAGGGCTCCGTGAGCTTCAAGAGAGGAAGACGAGCTGGTAAGAGGTCACAGCCTGAGGCACTGCAGCATGGCCTGGTAAACGCCACAGTTGCCACCAGTAATCACTGACATCGTCCGGGTACGACGCAATTGAGGGTCAGGATGAGAAATTACCGTTCCTGTCTATCCAACGTTGGCTGTGCGCCAGTCAAAGGATATGAAGGTGACTTGAGTGACGAAGCCTCAAAGCCGGGAGTTGCCGATCACAACGGGCAAACAATGATCGGAATGCTTGTTCCGAGTTCAGCCGTCTGCCGGCACCACTGGTTGAACTGGTTGAACTGGTTGAACCACCAAGATTAAGTCGACCACCTTGTGAAACTAAAGGCCTCCTCGTTCATTTTCTGAAGACGATCAAGCTTGGTTTTCTCGCTAATCCCAATACATTGCTTCTGCGTTGCATCTCAAACTCCAACTGCCTTTGACTCCTTCTAGATTGAAGGTGTTCTCCACACAGGTGCGACAGATTGTGCGACAAATTAAACTGAAATACTAGGTCAAACTGAGTGCAATTGTTCAATGAAATAACTTGAATCCGGCGATCACGATCTGCATATAAGATCTAGTCCCGTTCGGTTAACTCCGGTCAACGACAATTACACGATCGAAATTGTGACTCAAAACGCCCACTCCGGAGTCCTCGTATCGGGCTTAATTATCGAGCGGCGAATTAACGTCCTGAATGGACTGTAAGGGGCCAATCAACAGCGTACTTGTCCAGGTTGGAGCTCGAGTTATGGACTGCGTGCGGCGGCCGCATTGTCGGATAGTGGCGCCTCCAAATTGACGCCCTTCACACGACGCCGCCCAGGTCCCCGAGCGTGTAATGCTGCGCGCTAGAAGGCGATGTAGTATGAGGTACGTGGTGGTGTTAAATCTCGGGGAGGGATATGGCCGAGGGGATTGGAGTCTCAAATACTCAGAGAAGGGGCTGCTGGAATATCTTTGGTATGGTGCGCATCACTTGGTCACCACCAAAGTTGAACAAGTCCCAAATGTGGCTGACAATTTGAGAATTTTTTGAAGTGCACTTGTGGCCTTTCAGCTGCGATTTGACCCTTCTGTTGAGCTACCAAATGGCTAGAAACTATTAAATACTTGAGCTCTCCCTGTGATTTGAAAGGATTTACTACGAAAATTCAACTGGACTTCCATATATGGCCACAGGGTTTCTTCCAATTTCAAAATGCTCTACAGCCCTGGGGCTAAAATCAAACGATTAAAATGCAACATAATAAACGAAAGAGAGGCCCGAACCCCTCATTTTGGCACGGAGTCCCAAATTGACCGGTCTACGAATTTATAACTCCTTCAATTTTGAAGCTATTGAAAATCTGTCTTGCCAAGTTATTCCTCTCATTGAAAGGAGTACTTTTGCCAGAGGGATAAGGAAAATCTTGTTTTTTGAGTGACTAGTAACGGTTGTCACGAATTAGTGGCCTCTTAGTGAAGCGCACCATAGCTCAGTTGAACTCAAGAAAAAATGACTAGGCTTGACACAAGGGAAGGAGTCGACGCGGAGATTTGAACCTCGTTTACATGTAACTTCTTCAATCCCCAGACCTCTTGAGTCGATGTAAAGAATGCAGTCGTGCGCGTCGGCTCAATTTATTGCCTCAATTGCAAAAGATATTTTTTAGGCTGTGAGAAAAGCAGTCTCAGGCACTCTCATGCGGACGCAGGGAGTTCGAATCCCTTCCATGCTTAACCTAACTTCCTACTCACTACTCGCTGCAAAGGGTCACCATTCACTACGTCCACTTTCTACCTCAGCCCTTCCACAACCTCAATAAATGAATTCTTTTCAGCCAGCTTCTGAATAAACAGAAATCGAATAAGGTCAACCTCAACTAGTCGGGCGAATTGAGTTACAGAGACTAAGCTTTGTAACAGAGCGCGGCTGTGTACCATACCCAACGGCCGCTTCCTCCCGTCCTCCCTTCTATCCCTTGAAGTTTATTCTGGCCTATACAGAGTATAAAAAACCAACAGTGAAAAGGCAGCCGGACGCTATTAGCTGCTTGCACTTGAACTCGCCGTCTATTCGGTGCAGCGGTGTACCGCACACCCCCCTTTCCTCCCTCTATCCCTTACACCAATTTATCCTAGGGTTTAGGTCTCGTTCGGAATTTTTAAAAAGGGCCAAGAGAGACAAGAATCATGCGGACGTGGGGAGTCGAACCCCTCCAGGCTCCAACTGCTTACAGCTTGACTTAGACTTCAACCATCTATTCAGTGCAGCGTGCGGCGTGCACTACGTCCGCTTCCTTTCTCTATTCGACGCTCAGATACCTTGCTATTCTTTGGTCGTCGAACTAGATTAAAACAAAAAAAAACGGTTCCGAACAGGACCATGCGCACGCGGGGAGTCGAACCCCGCTTACTGCTTGCAATGCAAGGCCCATTTCGATTGAGTGCAGCGGCGTACCATACACCACGTCCGCTGAGCACCCCCCCCCCCCCCCCTTTCACATCAATTTTTTGTGACTCTTATTAGATGGAAAGAAAAAACAGGTGAAGTTTGAGCGTGCATGCGGACACGGGGAGCCGAACTCCGTTCAACTGTGTAATCTGCGTTCTTCCCGAAATTACTGCAGCGGTGTACCTACACCACATCCGCTTCCCTTCTCCATTCCGATTCCACCCTCGTACATACCTTTCTATTCCTTGGTTGGATTTCGCACCTAAAAATTGAGATATGATCCGATACGCGGACGCGGGGAGTCGAACCCCATCAACTGCGTGGCACTCGTTTCAACCCGATATTTATTTATTGCAGCGATGCGCCGTGCACCACGTTCGCTTACCCTCTCCCTTCCACCCTCGTACCTATCTACCTATTCATTTGGTTGCATTTCGGGCCTAGTAATAAAAGAAAAGTGAATAACGACGCGACCAGGCGGGCGCGGGGAATCGAATCCCTTCAACTGCATGCACTCGATTCGCTCGCTCGCTCTTCATTCATTGCAGTCGTGTGCCCTACACAATGTCCGCTTCCTCTCACCATCCACACCTTCAATCTCAGCACGAAATATATTTTTTTTGGAATGGAAGAAAAAATCATGTGCAAAGGGGCTATGCGGACGCAGGGAGTCAAACCCCGTCCAACTGCAATGAAAGCGATATGCCGCAAGTTTAATGGAATACAGCAGTGCACCATACACCACATCCGCTTCCTTTCTCCTGTTCACCCTTCATATGTATAGTATCAACTGCGTAACCTGCCTTCTTCCCGAAATTAGAAATTAGTGCAGCGGTGTACCGTACACCACATCCGCTTCCCCTCCATTCCGATTCCACCCTCGTACATACCTTTCTATCTTTTGGTTTGATTTCGCAGCTAAAAAATTGAGATATGATCCGATATGTGGACGCGGGGAGTCCGAATCCGGCATCCTAATTCATTGCAGCGGTGCACCATGCACTATATCCGCTTGCCTTTTCCCTTCCACCCTCATACATATGCACCTATTCCTTTGGTTGCATTTAGGACTCAGTAAAAAAGAAAAGTGAACAACGAACGACGTGACTAGGCGGACACAGGGAATCGAACCCCATTGACTGCTTGAAACCCTCTTCGCTCCTAATCCATTGCAACGGTGTGCCCTACACCACATCCGCTTCCCCTCTTCATCCCCACCCTCAATCTCTCGGTACAAACTATTCTTTTTTGGAATGGAAGAAAAAAAACGAACTGCGGGGAGCCATGCGGACGCGGGGAGTCGAACCCCATCAACTACGTGGCATTTATTTCAATCCTTATTATTGCAGTGGTGCGCCGTACACCACATCAGCTTTCCCTTTCCCTTCCACCCTCGTATGTATGCACCTATGCCGTTGGTTGCATTCCGAAAAAAGAAAAGGGATCAACGACACACGATGCGGACGCGGGGAGTCGAACCCCATCAACTGCGTGACACTCAAGTCAACTCAATCTTAATTTATTGCAGCGGTGCGCCATGCACTACGTCCGCTTTCTCTTTGCCTTCCACCCTCGTACATATGCACCTATTCCTTTAGTTGCATTCTGGACTCAGTAAAAAAAAGAGAAGGGAACGACACTGCTCAAAGGCGAACGCGGGGAGTCGAACCCCTCCAACTGCTTGGAACTCCACCCCCTCTCCATTCAATGCAGCCGTGCACCATACACCACATCCGCTCCCTCTCCACCTTCCATACCTCCTCCTCCTCTTGCAACTCCTCTCAATTTATTTATTTATGTATTTATTCCCCTCATCGCAAGTTGAACACCCTCTCACATCAAATATTAATCACCGCGGGGCGCCGAACCGCTTCAACTGTTTGGAACTCAATTCCCTATATATTCAATGCTCTTCTTCACCTCCAGTTTCTTAGCTTAACATTATTCGCGATCCATTTCAGAAAGAAAAAAGCACACTGTGACAAAGACCATGCAGGCGCGGGGAATCGAACCCCGTTCAACTGCTTCAACTGCTTCAAACTTCCATTCAAGGCAGCGGTGCACCATACACCACGTCCGCTCCATTTCTTAACTCTACCTTCAATACTTATCTATCTACCCTGCGCCTGGTTACCTCCTCCGGATTTATTCATACAATATTCCCTCGTCGCCTTTCACATCAAATCACACCCTCCACGAAATCAGTGATCCAATCACTCCGTCCCTCCTCCCGTTCCTGAACTCCTCAGCCTCCCCATCCTCATAAATCTATATGAAGTTTGTTTAAACAATTAGCGTCTCAACGTAAATTACCACTTAAACTTTGCTCAGTTTGAACACAATGGGGCGGCGAGCCGGCGCCGGTGAGTTGCATCCAACATCTTTTTCCGTTCAAACAAGGTTTGAACCATAATGAACCCTGTTAATGAACAGTGATTGAACACTGTTCAAGGCATTATTCAAAAAGCGCTGGGTGGCCGGGGGACTCGAACTTGGAGACTTGCGGCGATGGCCGTGACACAATCAGCTGGCAACTGGGGTGTATTAACCGCTCTGCCATCGAGCCGATACCAATTGAAAGAACAACTGAGTCCTCGGGAATGCAGTCTCTTTTTGAAACATGTTTGTGAACCTCCCCACGACCCGAAGAGCTGGTCGGATTGGCTATGATGTCTCTCACATACAGCTCAACTCATTTTAAATGCAAACAGCAGATACCAACCTTGAAATTCCAATTCAATCACTTGCCAAAAGGATGATACGGTATACCACTCTGGTATGGTTGAATCATGCTCAAATTTTGTGCAAAGATGGAACACCAAACTACAAAATGATATGCCGAAATAAGCTATATTCACCCGGTCGTGGACTTCAAACCATAAGCCATGAGATGCTATGGCTGCACAACATGTGTCGGACTTATCAACATCAAATAGCTGGTTTGGTATTCTGTAGCGGGTAATATCTTAATTTGGCAATATCTCCCATGTCTCTTTGGCTTAGTGGTTGTCCCCCTTTCCTCAACATTTCTTTCGCACACAGGTGTCTTTGGGTTCAAGACTGGCGGAAGGTTGATTATTTTGTCTCCCGTTTGAACAAGGTTCAAACTCTGTTTAAACTCTCCTCACGCCGTTTAAACAGAACAAAGTTTAAGCTGTGTTTTGCGTTGAGACGCCGATTGCTCAAGCAAACTTGCTAGGGTTACTGCATCCTCATTCCCCCTCCTTGTCTCCTTGTCCCCAGCAAATCGGCCCCATTCACCCGCACGACACAATTCTCATATCATACATTTTATTCGCCCCTCCCTCGGGCTACGGCTACGGCTACGCTACGACCAGTGCTACTTATCCTACAAATCACCACCAGACGCTGGCTAATCTACAAAAGAGTCCATATTCACGTTCGTTCGCCTATAGAAACACGACACCACCACCACCAAAAAAGAGACACCGAGACGAGGGAATGGCTGAATGACTGAGGCCACGAGACTGAGACGAGAACGCGGGTAAAGAGAGGCGGGCTAGGGACGCGGGATATAGGATGCGGGATCGGGGTAGCGGAATGGCTGAAGGAATCAAGGAAGGAACGCGGGCGCAGGGCGTAGGGAATGCGGGGGTAGAATCTGTGCGGACCAGGGAACGTGGATATAGGATGCTGCCGCCGCGTCTTCACTAGAACCCCGTCCCCCCAACAGCACCCCCCACAGTCACCGCCCGCCCGCGGCCCACCCTCCCCGCGCCCGCGCCCGCGCCCCCAAGGCCTCCCATGGACGAAGCCGCCTCCAAGTGCGCGAACGGCGACGGCGGGTGCGAGTGTACGAACGCCCCCACAGGCGACCCCCCCCCTGCACGAACCCCACCGGCGAATGCCCCGCGAACGACGACGGTGACGCCTGCCCGAACGCCCCCCGCCCCCGCCCCCGCCCCCGCCCCAAGCGGGCTCGGACATCATCCGCAGCGGCATCGGCACCGACATCGACATCTGCATTGGCGTCGGCGGCTCGACCCACCCGCGCAGCCTTCCTCCCCCGCCCGCTCCCCCGCCCGTAGCCGCAGACGCAGAAACAGACGCCGCAGAAGCAGAAGTAGGAGGCGCGCCGAGGTAATACTCCACCTCCATCGCCTCCTCGCTGCTCGACGCGACCAGCAGCTCCCCCAGCTCCCTCAGCGACGCGTGTGCGTGCGCCCCCACGAGGTGCCCGCGCGCGTCGTACGGCGCCTGCCCCTCATTGCCCTGCTGCTGCTGCTGATTTTGCTGCTGCTGCTGCTGCTGATGCTGATGCGCATACCCCTCCACCCCGCCGCCGGCGCCGGCGCTCTGCGGCCTCGACCTACGCGGCGAGTCATGCCCCGCGGCGTCAAACTCCCCAAACCGCTGGCCCTGGCCGGACGCAGCTGAGACGGCGCTCAGCGGCGGCGTCTCGTACCCCCCGCCGCCGCCGCCGCCGCTGTCGTACGGGTGGTGCGGCGAGTACGCAGATGTGGAGCCGGGCGGGTGCGGGTGCGGGGAGTATGCGGACGCGGGCGCGGAGCCGGGGTGCGGGTGCGGGGAGTACGGCGAGTGTGAATGGGCGTGGGAGTTGGAGGCGGGCGTAGGGCCGCGGAAGAGGGGGAAGGAGCCCGAGACGGCGCTGGCGGGGCTAAAAGCGGAGGCTATCAGTGAGTGTTTTTTTCCGGCGCGAATGGAGAATCAAAGAAGGCAGGCAAGATGTCCACGCGGCGGAAAATGACCACCCGCCGGAGAAGAGCCCCTCGCCCCTCGCCAGAAGACACGGAGGGCGGAGTGGACCGTCGCACGTCACGTCCCAGTCCCCAGTCCCAGTCCTGGAAACCAGCCACCGACACCGACACCGACACGACACCGCAGGCGCGGCACTCTCTCAGGAACGAGCGGTACGAATGCCTGCGGATACCAAAAAGCAAAAACATGGCTCGCGCTGACCACCCGCAGGGAAGAACTCCCCGCCATAAGCAAAAGATGACACGGACGCGGCGCGCTGCGTCGCTCGACCAACACCCACCCGCAGGCTCCCGCCACCGACACCGCGTCCCCAGAGCCCAAAGCGCAGGAAACCCGACACCGACAGCGCGAGGCACGTGCATCCAGCGCCGCGAAGCGCAGATAGCCACCAAAAGCCCCCTCGCATAGACGACACCGTGCAGAACACCGCGCGTCGCCGGTCGCCGACGACCGCCCCCACCCCCACCTCCCGCGAAGCCACACAAGCGACCAACCGCCGCCGCCGTCAAAACAAAGCCGCCTACGCGTCCCCAAGCGCCCCTCGCCCCTCGCCCCTCCCAAGCACCTGCCGCCCGACGCAGATGCAGATGCAAATGCAACCCCATAAAACCAAGGCAAAGGCACAGACGACGCCGCGAAAACGGACGCGGACACGAAGCGCAGAGCGGCGCGACGACAGGGCGAGCGCTCACGCGAACACCTCGCCTGCACGCGCAGAGAACGCCCCGCCCGCACTTGCCATGCAAAGCAGCGGACACCGAGCGACGGGACGGCTCCCCCAAACGATGCGAAACGAGGACGAAGAAAGCACGACACGTCCAACGAAACGAAAGCAGGCCGCCGAAGAAACGAGAACCACCCGTCCGAAACCGAAACCGAAACCCCCCCCAAAAAAAAAATAAAAGAGACATCGAAGAAGAAGAAACGCACCCCGACTGGTCATCAAAGCTCGAGCGCGAGCTCCCCGTCCCGCTCCCGCTCCCGGTGCCGCTCCCGCTGCCCGACGCCGAG